GTCAAAGAGAGCTTCATAACTGAGTCTTGAAGGAAGAGTGGAACTTAAAAAAATACAGACGAGCTTATTGACAGGTAAGCAAAGATGCCACAAAATAAAAATTTAAAAACTAATAGACATTATGTATATATTATATTTGGCCTATCACCAAAACTGCTAAATTTGTCCATCATTCTTCTCCACATATACCCCACAATTAGAAGTCTCATCCTTCTAATTTTTCCTTCAATATTACAACTTTTCTCAATTTGATACTATCTTTTTTCAAAAATCATCTCATGGTTAGTGAAAAGGCACAGATGTTAGCTTACGATAAGCCCTAGCCATTGAAATGTTTGATCTTTAGCAAGTTATTTAACTTCTTTGAGAACATTTTTTATTTGATAGAATGAGGATAACAGTCACTTCACAGTCATTGTGAGAATTAAATGAAAAATACTTAAAATATCTAACAGTTACTTTACACAGAATACGCACTTGATACACATTACCTCTGAATCCACATCTTTACGCACTGCAGCAACTTCTTTATCCTCATCACACTCCCCTACTAACCCACACTCCCCTACTAACCCACACTCCCCTACTAACCCGCTCAGCACCGGAATTACCCCCGTTATCATTCCCATTTAATTATTATGGGTTGTACATAACTGTCAGATACAAGGCACCTATCTGGGCATTTTCTCTTCTCTGGCACCAAATAAACATTGAGAATTGCTCCAAAGAAGTAATCTACCTCATCCCCTAGCTGGTTCATTTATAGTTACTCCATGACCGTGGAATAGCAATCACATTGTAAATTTATACTCTGGCAGAGCCCTTTTTTTAATATTTCTTACTGTAATTACCTCTTAATGGGATGCCTGACTAATTGTGCTTTTATTTCTTACATTTTCCCCAAGTTATCTTTCAGGTAGACTGAGAAAGAAGACCCAAAATCAGGAGCTGAGTTTTCACAGCTGACTGGTTTGGCAGTCAACTTACCTCTGGTAACAGCCAATCAGCTGCTACCAAGAACAAAAGCATGCTTAGAAAATCTAACGGGCAGGCAGTTGGAATTTTCAGCTAACTGCCTCCTTCAGAGCACTAAAGGTCATTTTCTTTAAAAATCTGTGAGAGGCGGAGTCTCTCCAAACCTAACATCTTCAGTACAGCATCCATCTAGGAAGGTTCAGACACCTGCATGTAATTATCTACAAAATACTTCAATCATCATGTGACTACTGAGTACCTGAGGGAAAACACAAATGCTAAAATGTCATGCCAGCTACACACAATGAGGTTTAAAACAGGCAATCTATCAAAGAGAGCTTCATAACTGAGTCTTGAAGGGAGAGTGGGACTTAAAAAATAGAGAAGACATTATTGACAGGTAAACAAGATAAGTAAATGCACAAATCACAAAGATAGGAATGAGCTGTGGATGCATGGGAAGCTGTAAGACCGAATGATATGCCAATTTGTCCTCCCTACTCATTGTTGTGTGGTTGTACATGCCCACTCAGGCTGCCTTTGACTGAGTACCTACTGAGCTGAGACGGAACCTTTCGGACTCACCCACTGCCCTGACTAGTCAAGAATGGTCACAGAGGCTGACAAATAATTTTTGATAATGATGATACTAAAACCTGTTTTACACTCACATTTTCTTTCAGAGGCCCCTTCACATGGTCACATAAAACATGCTTTACACTCATGTCATGAAAGATATCTGGTATCTGGTTTTATCTATTCCTGGGAGAACCTGGGTCAGAAATGCCTTTCTCTCACCTTTTCCAGTGACCTTGACCTAAAGAAGAAAGTTTGTCCTCACCTTGAAATAATGTGCTAAACACAACAAAATCTCTCTCCTGATACTCATTTCCCAGAAACCTGGGGCTCTGTTTTTTCGTTGCCTGCTTTCCACTAGGGAAGGCAATAAAGCAAGTGTATGGAAGCAAGTGTAGTTTTAAATCACTGTGGCAACATTGTCATGTTGCTTGCCCACACTGCATCAAAATTAAAAC